TCAGAGCTGCACTTCAGTTCTTTGAGCTCCACAGGCTATGATAGCCTATAAGCCATTATTGTCTTCACAGTAACCTTTCCTCTTAACACAGAGCTTTGCTTTGAGAAGCACAAGCAGTAGCCCTCACTGCCACAAGGACAGAGCTGTGTCATCTGGCTGAGAAAGTCTTGGCCTCTAAGCTGAGGCTGAAAACAGTTTCCTTCAACTGGATACATGAAGCTCATTTTGATGGACAGACGTAGATATCTATTGTTAATCAGACAAGGCACTCTGCTCAACACCCTTGGCTTTCATCATTAATGGAGTCAATCAGGTACTCCAACAAATAATTGATCTTATGCTAAGGCAGCCATCTAAAATTGACCAAAAGCACCGTGTTCTAAATACCTGCCTCACCCATCTTCTCTCCCTTAACAAAAGAATACTAAGTAACTAGCTTAGATCCAACTACAGTACAGGCATTTAAATCAAGCTAGTCCCAGCCCAAGCATCCCTACACATCATTCACTCAGTTTCCTAAAAGGAGGCACTTTGTTTTTTGTATGCCTAAACAACACAACAGCTACAGGCTGTGCCTAATGTCCCTTTGAGGTCCATTTCCTTGCAGTAAGTTCTCTTAAATGCTGGAGCGTTTCCACCAGCAGGCCAGCCCAGGACTGCTGCAGAGGTTCCAGCTGAAAGTTTGGTTCAGAAAAAAGAGAGGCTGCCTTCCTTTACTATCAGACCACTGCAACAGGTGCATAATCCAATAGCCATACACTTTCCCAAAGTGTCCTGGGTGACGAGTTGACAAAAAGCTGGCTCAAATGAGAGACATCTGAAGAATCAATAACCCACTAAATAATCTGCTGGATGGACTATTTTCTGGCAAGGGTTATCTTGTGAAGGGGTCCAAGCAGAGCTGAGTAGTTGCGGAAATTGATCTGTGAGTGATACAAATGATTCCCTTCAAGCACAGTTATAGGAAATATCGTAATTTCAGACATAATCCTCCTCTTCCTCTGCAAAGTATCTTTAGTCTTAAAAAACAAAAAAATCCCATTGCTTTCAGGCTTATCTCAGTACTAATTTTCCCCAACCCTCAATTCCTACCATGCTCTTTCACGACTTAGGCCGATCATGTGGTGACTACAGCTACCTGGTACTACCAAACCTAGAAGCCTGACTGCACAGCAATCCCCAGCAATTATCTGCTCCGTTATCCTGCCAATGAACTCCAGAATCGAGAGAAAAGAACACCGCTTTTCATCTGAAAGAATGAAGATTAAAAACTCAGTTTGAATATCCAAAATGATGGAAGAAGGACGGACGACAAGAACAGCCTGTGTTGCTCTGGGAGTGCTGCAGGCATTTTTCTGCCTGAGGGCTCTGGAGGCGTGGCTGTTCCTCCCTAACCAGAGCATTTCAGTAACAAAAAGGCATTCTGGGCAGCCCTTACATCCCAGCTTGCTACTCAGAAGAGACAGACTTAATTAAGTATCACGAGAGCTTGTCAGCCTCTAGCCAACCTTCCTAGAAGAAATCTGGCGAGAGTTGACCGGAGCATCTCTGATTCCCAGGACAACCGAAATGCACAAAGTCTCTACAAAGACATGCCAAAGTCAGTTTGCTTCCAGCCTTTGCTCCTGGCAGGAGCAGCATTACCTGCTCCACTTCCTTTCTCTGCTCAAGGAAGTCTCTCAATTTCAATGGACAGGCAAGAAATAGTGATACTTTCAGCTTGTAACCTAGGAGAGGTCAGTATGGTCTATAGAACATTGCCAGCAATGCCCACTGCACAACCTAAATGAGACAAATAGGTCATCTTCAGCCAGCTGACATTTGACTTCATTACACAAAATGCCACCACCACAGCTGGTACCATCCCATATGCTTTGCCAGAAGCTAGGCTGCAGAAGTCAAGAACCAGCCTACTCTCCCTTGGGGATGGGGGAAAGCCTCTGGGAAAACCTACGTGCTCTACAACCACTCAGCATTGAAACCAAACCACAGAAATTGAGGCATAACACAGCTTCTGCTCTGTACTAAAATAAATACCAGAAAGTGCTCATCGGTGCTAGATGTGGATTCACAATGTTCACCACAACCATCAGCAGCCTTTCTTCATATGCACTGCTACATCTAAGACCCTGTGATCTTTTTATTGTTGCCTAATTCCTTTATTTTGAACAAATTAATATAGTAAATGCATTTATCACAACAATGTTTGGGTTCACTTGCAAGCAGTAACAACGTGGTTTTATTTAACCAATAACTACACCACCACAGCTACAAGGTCGTGAGTGGGGAATGCTGCCCTTGTGCAACTTAAAGGCAACACGTATTTAGAATGATTTGGCAGTCCTCTAGATAGTGTACTGTGCTGACGCTCTGATGGATGACTAGAGATTACATCTATCACCCGCAAGATACTTTGAACTACTTGATGGTGCACAGTAATCATAGAATGGCTTAGGTTGAAAGGGATCTTAAAGACCATTGAGCTCCAACCTCCCTGCCATGGCAGGGCTGCCACCCAGAAGCTCTGGCTGCCCAGTGTCCCATCTAGCCCGGCCCTGAATGCCTCCAGCAATGGGGGCAACCAAAGCTTCTCTAGGCAACCTGTTCCAGCGCCTCATCACTCTCTAAGTGAAAATTTCCCACTGACATCTAATCTTAATTTTCCATCTTTTAGTTTAAAATCATTCCTCCTTGACAATCACCTCCCTTGCCCTACTGGCCCCCTCTCTATTGATGCAGCTCTGGATACTGTTGGCCTTCCAGGCTGCAAGTGCACACTGCTGGTTCACGCCCAGCTTTTCATTCACCAGAACCCTCAAGTCCTTCTCCACAAGCTGCTCTTAATCTTTCAGATCTTCTCTCAGTCTGCAGACATATCTGGGATTGCCCTGACCCAACTGCAACACCTTGCACGCAGACTTGTAGAAACTCACTATGTTCTCGGGGGCCCACTTTTCAAGCCTGTCCAAATACCTTTGGATGGCATCTCTTCCTTCTATTGTGTCAGCTGTACCACTCAGCTTGGTGTCATCTACAAACGTGCTGAGAGTGTACAGGATCCCATCGTCTATGTCACTGATAAAGGTGTTAATAAACACCAGTCCTAAGACTGCCCTCTTGTGACTGGCCAATCACTGCCCTCTTGTGACTGGCCTCCACCTGAACACAGAACTGTTAACTAAGAGATAAAGATTGTGTGGGACCACATCAAAGGCCTTGCACAAGTCCAGGCAGATGACATCAGTTGCCCTTCCTCTATCTACCATAGTCATCATTCCATCATAGAAGGCCACCAGATTGGTCAGACACGATCTGCCTTTGGTAAAGCCATGCCAGCTGCCATGGATCACCTCCTCATCTTGCATATGCCTTAACCTACCTTCCTAGATGATCTGCTCTATAATCTTCCCAAACACAGAATGACACTCATCAAGCCTATTGATCCCTTCTTCCCTATCTTAAAACGGGAGAGATGTTTCCCTTTTTTCAGTCACAGGGGACCTCACCCGACAGCCATGACTTTTCAAATACGATGGAGAGTCATTTGGCAACTACAGCAACCAGTTCCTTCAGAATCCTGAGATGCATGTCACCTGGCCCTATAGATTTGTACACATTTAGTTTCATGAGATGGTCTCAGATGTGCTCTACCCTTCCAGTGGGAAGAATTCTGCTTTTCCAACTCCTGCCTAAAGGTTCAGGGACATGAGAAATGTAGGAAAGCCTGGCAGTGAAGACAGAGGCAAAGAACTCATTAAGAACTTCAGCCTTCTCCATGGAACCTATTTATCAGGAGGAGTACACTCTCCTTTGCCTGTCTCTTATGAACAACATATCTAAAGAATCCTTTCTTGTTATTTTTCACATCCCTAAGTTTAATTTCATCTGCACCTTGGCTTTCCTGATCCCATCTCCACACATCTAGACAGCATCCTTATATTACACCCAATCCACTCATCTCTGCTTCCACTGCTTATATTTTTCCTTCTTCTCCTTCCCCTTGATGAGCACATCCTTTCTCAGCCATGACAGTTTCCCGCCTAATTCATTTGATTTCTTCTGCTGAAGAACAGAGAGCTCCTGAGCACTCAGAAATGTATCTTAGCACACTGCTAGCTCTATTCTGTTCCTTTGTTCCTAGAGTTTACCAGAGGATCCCACCCAATAATTCTCTAAACAGCCTGAGGCTTGCTGTCCTGAATTTCAGGATCCTGACTCCACTCTTTGTCAGGCCCGTGATCCTCAACATCACAAAATCAACCACAGCACAGTTGCTGCATCCCAGACTGCCTTCAGTCTTAACCTCTTAGATGAGCTCCTCTGCATCGGTGAGCACAGGGTCCAGTAACACTTCACCTCTAGCTAGTATGTCCAATACTCGGACCACGAAGTCATCTTCAACAGGCTCCAGGTGTCTCCTGGATTGCTTCCATCTGGTACTCAGAATAAGGCAGAAACCCCACAACTGTGCTACAGTGTATTACCCACTTTTTGAATAAAAATGACTTAACCCACACCCTGCAGCCTTTCAGCCCAGTCTCAGACACTTTTTCCTCTTTTTCATGCCAGCCTTCTGGCCACAGCACCCAGCTCCCTGTCCCCACAGCAGAGAGGCAGATGCAGGAAACTTTTACAAGCTCTAACTCTTTGCAGTTGAGTGCAACCTAAGTCCCAGAAAAAGTGTGATCCCTGCACGTAACAAGCATGCATTTAGCTAAATCGGGGCTCTCATTTCTGGACCAGATCTCTCTTGTGGGGTGACGGAGCACCTCCCCGAACACAACAGAGGGGAACGACGTTACCCACTCACCTCTACGCACAGCCCCGAGCCTCAGCTCAGCCCTCCCAGGTGCCCCGCGCCAGCTCTGCGAGCCCGGCCGTTAAAAGGGCAGAGCCGCGCGGCAGTGCGCCAGATCCGGCACTTCGGACACACTCAACCCGCGTGTGGGAAGCAACTCAAACACGGACCCGACCCCACGGCCCAGCCGAGCGCCCCTCACCTGCCGCCAGCCGGCCACACCCCAGCAACAAACAGGAAGCAGCGCCGAGCCTCACTTCCGCCCCTACTTCACATCACTTCCGCCCAACTTAGGAAGCCCCTCTGTGTCTGGAGCGCTCGGCTGACGCGAGGGGAGAGGGGTGGGGATACGCATGCGCACGGGGAGGGTGGGGAGAGAGGCGCGAGGCGCCTGGCAGGAAGGGCTTTCATCGTGTTGAGGCGTCCTGCAGTCCTAGCTGTGTTCAATCTCTGCTACCGCAGAGCCAGATGTCACGTTCCTTGTCCTGCCTGTGCCCTCTCTGGCACTTCTGTGCCTCTGCTGGCATTCTGTGTTGGGTAGCTTGCCAGCCTGACCCAAGTCCCAGAAGAGCTCTGTACTGCTGCTGGGTGTGGGGTGAGGGAGGCTGTGGGCTGCCATCACAGCACTGTGCTTCTGTGAGCAGTGAGGGGAGAGGGTGCTGGTACAGCTTGCAGCCTTGTCCTCACCCGTGTGTTGTGGAGTCATCATTTGAGAGAAAACCCACAGACAGAATTTGCTTCTTTCTGCCCTCAGCCCTGCTTCTGTGTCATGCTGTGTGTCTGCTGCCAGGGATCTGCTGCTGAGCACGGCAAACAAAAAGGAAATCTCTGACTCATACACTTGCTTGTTTTCTCTCCAGTGTTCGTGTTTGAGTTGAGCGATTTAAAATCTGGCTTTATAAAATAGTGAATGTTTTATTCTTTTTTATTTAAGCACATTCTCCCAGCTTGTTCTCGTGTTGCTTTTATACTCCCTCAATGTGCGCATTCAAGCGATCAAGTTCCTCCAGCACAAATATTCATGGAAAGTGTATCTCAGTACTGCATCCATACATATTAAAAACACTTTGAGGGAGTATATGCTACACGTGACAGAAGTATTTGCATGTGCCTCCACTTCAGGATCAGAAACAATTCTTCAAGAGTTACTTCAACAGTTGTACCTTACTACTCTTTAAATAGCAAATACCAGTTTGTGAGTGCACACAGGGAATGCTAGTGACTTATACATAGAATTAAAAACAGTGCACCAGAGGAAAAAAAAAAAAAAGAGGGCACTTCTCTTCGAACACAGTGAATACGTTTGAAGAAATCAGGGTCTGCTCATGCATATTCAACTTGAGGAAAAAGGGCAAATCCATTACCTAAATGCCTGTTGCAGATTTCTGGCTCGGTCCTGCTCCATCACAAGGGAAAACGCAGTCAGAGATGCTTGCTGCAGGCTGTTGGGGAGGAGCAGTGTTGGACCTCACAAACCCCAAAGCAGATGAGCAGCTGCAGCTTGGGCATGGCGGGGCCTCACCCAGGTGGTGGCCTTGTGATGCTTTAATGATGGGGCTGGTAAGGCCTGTCAGTATGCAGAGTGTAAGGGCAAAAGTCCTAAGAACTCTGAGCTTGGCTAAGAGCTTTGAAAACTCTGTGTAGGGGAGGGAGGAACGTAAAATCATGCCAAAACTCAAAGCAGACAAAAAAGGAGATCTAGCAAAGTCTGAGCAAGGAGCATGTGTGTGGGTGTCAGGACCTGTCAGAGACAAAATAGGGAAGCGGATGTAAGAAGCAACAATCCAATCTATTCTGATCCATTTTTATTTATATACTGGTGACGGAAAGGCCTCCAAATGCTTTCTGCTGCTCAGATAAAAATCCAATTCTGCATTTTTAAAATATAATATGAAGCAGAAGGTGGAGGCAGGCTGATGCAGCCTCTTCCCATGTTCCCCTCCCAGCCATGCTGAGGATGAGGAAACAGCAGGTTTGTCAAATCCCTTAGTGTGAGGCAGGAAGAGAGTTCACAGAACTGGATAGAGGGAAGAGAGTGAGTGTTAGGCTGGGGAGACAGAGAGATGGATGGGCAGAAGAGCAGCAGGGACTTGGAAAGCCAAATGTAAGAAGTGACAGCAGCATAGCAGTGCACTGGACAAAGCACCAGGGAGACTGCATTAGTAGGTGAGATGCTATAAATCATAATGAACTCTTGTGTAACTCTGTCACACATCAGACATCTTCCTTGTGCCAACAAGACCTAACTGACTGGGAATGTGTAGGTGTTACCAGCACAGAAATAATCCGGAGGCAAAATGGGAGTGCAGTGGCTATGTGTTACCATGGGTGAAGGCATGCAGGCAGGCTGGGGATATGGTCTCTGGCTGAATGCTTCTTTCATCCCACCCAACTGGCAGGGAGGGGCTGAGTAGTACCGTCTCCAGCCAGGGGGACAGTGCACATGGTTTCCTGTCTCTCCTTAATATTTGCATTTCATAACATCTCATTGCATAATCTTCTGTGATACTGAGGATGGGATCCCTGAGGAGCTGACTGACACATCCACCAAACTCTCCCTTTCTCTGCTTTGTGCTGGCAAGTTTTAGCAAAGAAAAATAAAACCAGGCACAAGATTTTTCTTCCCCAACAAAGGGAATGCTATTAAGCACTGTTGCCCAGGTGAGGGAGGATTTAGACAGAGGTCTTTCTTCCCATGCAGCCAGTTAGATGTCAGTTTTCATAGGTTGCAAAAAGAAGCATTGAATGGTGTGCCAAGTCATGCATGACAGTGTTTCAGAGGCTTTGCAATTAGGAAATGCACTAGCTGCTGGTTTGGAAAATGCCTTCCAGCTTTCCCAGTGCCATTCCCCAAGTCGATACCAACAGGAGACACTAGTCAAGGTTGCTGCAAAGAGATCCTGCTTATGCACTTTCAGGCACTTAGTTCTGCTGTGGCAGGGTAGTGACTCAGACCCTCCCTCACCCTCAGGGCAGACCTGGCTTTGCCCTTGGCCTGTGGGAGAAATGAAAGAGATTGTTCCCACTGCTCTTCTTGCAGGCTGCACAGAGGCTCTGCACGCTCGGCTTTGCTGTCTGTACTGATCCTCACTGTGAGCAGTGGGGCTGATCCAAAGCAGCTCGGGGCACTTGTCTTCTCCCTGCTTTCCCTCTGGAGTGCTTATTCTGTCTGTTAGCTTTTCCATCACAGTAACATTCAGGCCCTTCCACTACATCCAGAACTCACGTAAAGGCATATATTTCTTGACTGCAATACACAGACTGATCACTCATCTACTGTTGTGGAACAGCCACCAATTTATGTGCAAGAGCCAGCTCTTTTAGTTTCACACCAATTTATGTGCAAGAGCCAGCTCTTTTAGTTTCACATTGTATTTCAACTCATTTTCACTTTTCTGAAACTGCATTTTTCCACCAGAGTGCTCTTTCTTGAGGAAAAAAACGTAACACCCAGCTTTCAAAACATTAAATTAATTTGCTCTTTCTCTTGCTGCAGTATCTTTTACTGAGCAAAGTCACCTTGGGCAAGTAATTAGTGCCTCACTTTCCTCACTGAAAAATGGAAACAATAATATTTTTCCACCTTTGATATCTTTAGGATGGAAAATATTGCTGCTTATTATTTATTATAATGTTTTACACCAAAATTTAATAACATAAAACTCAGAACCTGAAGGGAAAATGCAAAAAGGGAAGGTGAGTGGAATACAGAGTGCTGCTGTGACTGTGTATTTTGAAGATGCCGGAATTTTTTTGTAGCCTATTGAATAACATTTGTCACACATGCAAGCAGAGCTGGCTGGGCTGCTTCTGCACAAGGTCAGGGGAGGGCCAGAAAAGAGATAGGATCTTACTCCAGACGTCCCCAGAGTTTTGCAGTTTCTTAGATCTGAAGAGTTTTGCTACTGCAGTTAAGCATAGGATTAAATTCACCTAGTGTTTAGAAGTGTCTGGACATCAGGTTTTGCTCCAGGCCTTACTCTGATGTTTCGGGTTATTTCTGTGGTGTTGTCTTAGGAGAGCAGGCTGGAAACTGCTTGGACATCTATTCCTTTTTCTGTGTCTGGTGACAACTGGCACCTCCTCGGTGCTCAGTCCTCACAGAATGCTGAAATTACACATTATTAATGATGCTATATCGTTTGGGAAACAGTAATCTGCTAAGCACTATTACTTTTTTTTAGGAAGCTATAGATGCTTTAAGTACGACATTCAGTATTTCTGTTACCCCTGAGTGTTGTTACAGGGAACTAAAAAAACAGCCACCTATCCTCTTCGCAAGCTTTCTACTGACTCAGATTGTGCAAGACATTTCTCCCACGGGAGGCACATGCCTTCCCTCAAACTGCCTTACCCTACTAAGGAAGATTTGGGATAAGATGCAGTGAAATGGAGCAAACTAGAGCCTGAAATTGACAAAAGAGTGGCCATCTCTCACTGTTCCTTCCTCTCTGACGCTCCTCTTGTAGTCTCCTTTTCATCCAATTCTACTTCACTTTCCTCCTCCTCGCCCCAAACTCACAGCTTGAAACACCACTTGCCAGCATCATCTTACTTATCTTTCCTAAGTGCCAAAGCTCTTATGAGACCCCGTGCTCTCACTGTCCATGAGACTGCTGCTTTTTCTCCAAGGCACAGCTGCTGCAGCACTTCATGTAGGGCTCAGGCTGTGGCAGTTTGCATATGCACAGTAAATTGCCTTTGCTCACTTAAAAAAAAAAAAAGAAAACAAAAAAGAAAAAAAAATGCACATGTAGGAAATTATGTCACATCTGAGGAATAAAGTAAACAAACAAAAATAGACAAGAGAATACAGAATAGAAGCTCCCTAAGGTGGAGCACAGAAGGGGAAGGTGTTTCATGCACAATCTTTTATTTTGTGGTTCCTTTCCACATCCCCACAGCACCCCCTCCCACGTGAGTCCTGAGCAGACCTGACCTTGCTGAACATGTGAGATCTGACAAGAGCATGGCACACAGCAGGATGGCTGCAGGCTAATGCTTTTATTTTTGTAGCCGTGTATTCCTAAAAGCACGATAACAAGAGTTAGGGATCAAATCCCTGCTTCTTGCGTAACTGAACAGAATATTCCCACTAGGCTAGCTGACAGGAGATCAAACATCCTGCACCAGGCCTCTAGAAAAAAATAGAGAAATATTAAGAGCAGCCATGACCGTAAGACAAAAGCAACGAGTATTCTAAGGCATCCTCTTAACTATGCTCCTAGCAGGCATGCAGGACTTGTTTGTAAAGTCAACACGTGGAAGTCTGAGATGAGCTGCATACACTCCC